AGCAAATGATAAAATGAAGAAAACTGTTGAAACAAGAATGGAATGAAAGAGAAAACATAAGGAAGGAAGGAAGGAAGGAAGGAAGGAAGGAAGGAAGAACATTAGAAATAAAGAAAAACAAAACTGAAACAAGTAAAGAAGGGAGACAGAGAAGATGGAAAGGAGAAGAACAGAAGGAAACTAGGACACAAAGATGGAAGGAAAGAAGGAACAATGCAAGGAAGGAAAGGAAGGATAAAACTTTTAGACGACAGGAATAAGAACCAAAGTCTGGAAATTAATTTAAAATTTTTCTGGAAAACGTTAAAATCGGAGCTCTGCTGTCAGATGAGACTGAACCTGATTAAAGGTTACAACATCATCTGTAAGTTTAAACTGCACACCTCCTCATCACACACACACACACACACACACACACACACACGAAGGCAGACGGAGTGTGTGTGGGCTCGCGACTGGAGCGTTCGGATTAATCTGGGGGAACCAGCCGGGCCTGTCGCGTTCCTTTCAGCCGCTCCATTAATTACAGCGGTACCAACAGCAGCCTTTGTGCCGGTCCCAGCGGAGCGTGTGGATATTACTGATTATAGCTAACGGTATGCAGAAAGGAAACTCCAACACCGAGCCACCCGAGTGTTTGAAGAACCTGCAGCCTGTTTAATCACCGCGTCACACTGGGAGCGCTGCGTTAAAACCAGAACCGGAACCGGGCGCTGTCTCACCGGCGGGGCAGTGGTTGGTTCTGTGTTCGCTGAGCTCGGCCAGGCAGTCGAAGTCCTGCTGACAGTTATCGCAGGTGAAGATGGACTCGTCGTCAAGGTCGTCGTCGTCGCGCTCCTCCTGCTCGCCGTCCTCGGCCACGCCCCCCTGGCCGTCCTTAAGCCCCGCCTCTCTGCTGGGCGCCGGAACGTCTGAGGGTAAACGAGGAAAAATGGTTTTTAATCAGATCATATGAAATAATTACTAAAATATGATGGATCACCGGCCAACGACTTTCTTTTTCCAAAATAATGGGAACTAACACGAGAAAGCTTATAAAGTCAAAATAATATGAGAATAAAGTTGCAATATGATTTGTTTATTTTTTATTTCCTTAGTAAAGCTCCATCTCATGTTTTTATTTTTACTGATTTTGTTTCTCCCAGCTGAACAAACTGGATGTTTCTGAGTATTTAACCAGAGCAGAGAGAAGATCAACCCTGTCCAGATCTTCACTCCAGTCTGACAGGGTGTGTGTGTGTGTGTGTGTGTGTGTGTGTGTGTGCGCGCACACACTCTGGTAGCAGTCAGAGTGTGAGAGGACACCAGCGGAGGGCTGCGACGGCCCAATCCTCACCGCTCCATTGTGTCTCCATTTTCACACCTTATTATCACATTATAAATGCTGAGGATCCAACAGGACTGACACTGAAGACTCTGAGGTCTGGAGAGGAGAGGAGAGGAGAGGAGAGGAGAGGAGAGGAGAAAGGAGAGGAAAGAAAGAGATCAGAAACTCTTAATAAAGTCTGATTGTTGAGAGTAAAAACCAGTTTTTACAAAACACGGTGGAACATTTGACTGTCTGAGCAGAACCAGCAGAACCAGCAGACAGACCAGTAAAAATGCTGAATTAAATGGGTCACACTGGAACCTGAGAGCAAACAATGAGATCAGGACATAAACGGGTTGAGAGAAACTTTAGAAACAAACACTGAGAAACATAAACAAGTACTTTAAAATACATCTATTGATATTATTGTCACTGATCTAATCGATCAGCTTTCTATGAAGTTTCCACACCAGACAGTCCGGTTCACTCAGTCTAATGGGGGAACAAACATTTGGTACATTTTCAGCTGCTGCGGTTCTTCTCATTGAGTCAAATGATCCAAACTAATTATAAACCTCTTCCCCTCCTCACCTGTGGGGGCACTGCACCAAGATATATCGAAGGAAACATGAAAACCTCTAAAAAAAGAAATGAGTGCAACTTCCTCCTTCACATAATGCAAACAAAAATGGAGCAGCATCACATTTTATCTTTTGTTTTCTGCAACAAATCAGGACTAATTTCTACAGCTATTGCTAGATTAGCACGTTTGTTTTGGTTTCATTTACCCAGAATGCCCTGCTCTGTAGTCCACTTCCTGCTTCTGGAGTAGTCTCTGGTCTGCTTGGTGTTCACATAAGCATTCAAACCGGACCAGAGTTCACTTCATCCAAACCGAGACCGAGGTTTGTAGTTCACTTTTTAGTACAAATCAGAGTTTTGCGCATTCACACCGCCGCAAATGAACCAGAGTTCAGTTAAAGCAGACAGAATATGGCTGCTGTGAACTCACCCTTAATATCCTCCTTCAACCAAAACGCCACGTGGTTCTGGTTCAGTTACAACAAAAAGAGACAGGATCAAAATTATTATTTTTAATCTTTCTAAACATAAATAACCCAACTCCATCCCACTGCTTTCCATATTCATGAAGCATTTTGTAAAAAGCGTTGCTTTAAAGAGAGAAATAGGGACAGAACCGGGTTCCCCTCCTTGATTTATTATGGATAGAGGTACGCTGGGATGGAGGGATTGTGGGAGGTGGGGAACGAGGGACTGGGGCGATCAGCGGTGCTGCAGGAGAGAGGAGGACAGTGATGGAGGGAAGGATGGAGGGATGGGAGGGTGCTGGCCATCTGTCCAGTGGTGGGAGCGCCGTCTGGCCGGGGAGAAGCCCCTCGTGCACGTGAGCGTGCACATGCTCACAAACACGTCAAGCTAAAAATGAAACACAATCATCAGTGTTTCTGCTGTGATTTCTTCATTTAGGTGCCAAAACATAAAAACGTTTGATAAAAAAAAAAAATCATTTCCTTCTACATTTTTGCTGGGAATCATTACATGGAAACAATCAGAGCGTGCACACGCAACGTGCACGCTCTCCCTGGGGCGCCCTGATGCCAGAGGTGAGGGCAGCGCCAGCTCCAGCGCATGCCAACACAACTTGCTGTCATAGCAACAGAGGAAAGAGACAGATGAAACCTCTCCATCTTGCTCTCCGGCGTAACCGCCTCTCCTTTCTTCATTTCATCCCTTCATTTGGACTCGGGAACGCGGATGAACCAGAGCTGGGTGTGCGAACGGAGGGCGCACGCAGCTGGGAGCGTTTCTCTCCGTCGGTTTGCTGCCCACCCACCTCACTCCGCTCAGGGACCGGATAATTACGGCTCCTCTTACGGATCTCCCTGGGAAGCCGATTCTGGAGGCTTCAAAGGAATGCTGACCCCGCGCGGCTCCGGGAAGACGCTGTGATCGGGTTCTGGTCCCGGTTAGCCTACAGAGGCGGTGAGATTTTGTTGCTTTATGTGCCGTTGATGGAGCGGTGTCAGCATAAAAGCTGAGCTAAGCTAAGGGAGTGTTCACACAGGAGGTCTTAGTTAGGGATGGATGCACCGATCCACTGATACCGATATCTGAGGTTTGGCATCGGCTGGTACCGATGCGAGCGTGCACAGAAAAGCAGCCAAACTGACTTATTAGCAGACATGAATCCTCTGAATTACAAACTGATTTGATAACTCTGCACCAGTACAGCAGAGTTAAATACACCATTAGCTTCACAAGCTTGGTCAAACATAAATATTTTTTATTCACATGTGATTTTAATTGTGTTTGTTACTTATTGGAAACATCGCAATTGCGCAATTATTAGAATATCGACAAAGTTTTGCGCACTTTTGTAAAGGGAACTCAGCTACTGTCACATTTTATGAAAACAAAATGTTAAACTTGAACAATTTGTATATTCTAATCATTAATTAGAATATACAATTAGGAAGTTTTACTTGAGCTTATTTTGGTGTAAATTTTCATATTCCAGAATGAACTTTTCATCTTTCTCTCTCATTTTGAACAAAAGTCTCCACACCTCCCTTCATCTCCAGTGCGACGCTCCCTGCCCAGCCCATTTCCAGCAGAAAGCAGCAGCAGGCCTACTTAATGAAGGCAGACATTACTCCCATCGGGGCTGAGGGAGCAGAGCAGTCTGCCTGTTTGGCTGCTGATTGAATGCTATGACATTGGTCCCCAGCAAATATCTCTTGCATTCATGTTGGTGAGACGTGCAGCTGCAGCCGCTTGCAGACACACTTACGCTCCTGAAACCATTATCTCAGAGTCACAGACTGTTCCTGCACCAGGCATTACTGCACGCGCTCAGAGGCACAGAAAATGGGCTAAATATCTGATTCCAACCTCACAAACAGACAACCAGTTGGTTCTTATGCCATATTAAGAGGAATAAAAAATATCAGAAAATATGAGGAATTCCTATTTTCTCCAAATTTCCCCTTTTTAAACCAAACACTAGCTGCATTTCCATCATATGTGCATGAAAAACTGCCCACAAAGACTCTTTAAGGATACTTAGAAAAGTCTTAAGTATCTTTACTTAGATACTCAAGTTAAGTTACTTAACTTAAGTAACTTGAGTATCTTAAGATACTCAACTTGAAATATTTTCCTTTAGGATAAATGAAGCATTTTTCAAATTTAATTGGACTGAATTGATGTTTAGCTAAATAAACAGTTTTGACACAAACAACTTCAAATAGGTTTTTTGTGTTGCCTGAGCTTGAGGTGAAAAACATAAAAAGAAATCTGCATGTTCATATTAAACCAGACATTTTCGTAACAATTTTGACATTTTCAAGTAATTTCTGTGCAAAAGGGTAAGTAGGAAGATACTGACAGTTCATAACTACCCGACACATCCCAGTTGAAAAACAAACTGGCCCCTAAATAGCAGGCCTGACTGTGTGACATAATGTATGAGGCGGTGAGTCTCTAGAGTAAAGATAATAAGCATTATTCTTCTGCCTCCACCAGTCTCTGTTACCCGAGGACAAGGAAATGTTTGTTGACAGATGAAAATATAAATATATAACAGGAATAATGAGGTCATTCTGCATATCTGCAGAACAAGATGCATGCAGGTGCTGCTTAAGAGTGTGTGTGTGCGTGTGTATGTGTGTTTATATGCAGTGTATTGGCGCATATAAGTGTGTTCATGCTCACCCTGGGTAATTAGATAAAGAGGAGTGAATTAGCAGAGTCCACCGCGCAGAAATGATGTTACACAGCCGAACCACGCCTAGCTGGGACCCACTAATCACCGCTCGTTAGGCTCACATGTGGAGGCTAGTGTGTTTTCAGAGCATCGCTGTGTTTATTAGATTGCTTGTGTGTTTTCTCTCATTAAACACATTCAAAATAAGTTCAGAGAGGTAATTAGTCAGCTTAGTGTTAATAAAGCTCTAACCTTCACAGATTATATGGAGACAGAGAACTTGCTCCCTGTCAGCTCACATAACTGGAATATTCAGGTTGTTTTCACACCTGATAGAATCTGTTCGATTCAGGACCAAAACAGCAACATTTGTTATATTTTCAGCTGCTATGATTCACTTCCACACTGTGTCAAATGAACTAAATACTTTGAAAAACCAGTTCCCCTCCTCGCCTGTGGGGGCGCTGCACCAAGAACCACTGAAAGAAACAACAAAAATATCTGAAGAAGACACTGAGCAACAAAAATGGAGTGGCGTCAGATTCTAGTGGTTGAAGGATTTCTCTTTTGTCTTTAGCGAAAGAGTACAAGTCATTTCTCCTGCTAGCGCTCGACTCACACGTTTGTATTTACTCAGAATGCCCAGCTCTGTAGTCCACTTCCTGCTTTTAGAGCGCTCTCCAGTCCACTTGCCTCCACATATGAATTGAAGCCACATCAGAGTTCACTTCGTGGTAAAATAACAATAATAATTTACAGTTGGATTAAAGCGAACTAAACATGGCTGGTGTGAATGCAGCCTTAAAGCAAACTGGAGGATCTGAGTTCAAACACTCCCAGCTTAGTTAGTTACCCTCCAACCCGACTCTGGCTTC